CGCGTCATAGGCGCGCGGTGCTCGCGCCTCGATCGCCACACGCGCTCTATTCGATGCGACCGAGCGATCACGTAAGTACGTCAATTACTGCCGGATCAAACTGAAGAATTAATCCACCGGGCAGTGTGCTAATTTTTCTTATCGCCCGCCGCGCGAGGCCACGCGCGCGAGACGCGCTATTAATTGCCCAGCCGAGTGTGCTAAGCAGTCGTAACTCAAGCAATTAATAACACTCCAACGTGAAATAACGGTATCACGATAGGTATGCCGCGGGAGAAGAGAGCGAGAGGCAATAGGAATAATCGTGAATCGTTCCCTTCGAACGCATGGTCGGCGAGAAGAATTCGGATGAAGACAGCAAAGACAATAAATCACGTCGAGGACGTTCGATCGCCTCGTTATCTTGTCTAACTATCGGACACGTCGACAAGTTACTTCTGGAACGAAAAAAACGGCTTCAAACGGTATCCCAATTAAAATATAATAGGCGTCTGTCTCGAGGAATGAAAACTCCATTTAGAGTTCAACACGTATTTAGAATTCGATCGGTATCAACGTGTGAAATTAAATCACTAGTTGTTAATTTAATGAAAACGCACGGGAGAAATTATCGCCATTGTTAGAGGAACGAATGTCTTTAGCCTGGCAACGTCGTCGTCGGGAAATGAAATCTCGTCGTTACTACGCAATTTCATTTCCAACACCCCGGGACTCTGTGCAAACGAACTTTCGCAACGCATGCAAGATTCATTCCTTCATTGTTTCCGACACGCGTGTGTCGCCGGCTATACAGTCACGTATGCTATTATAGGAAGCGTCTATTTCACGTCAGATCAATACACATTCCCCCTTACCTCGATCGATCGTAAATAATACACAGCACTATATTATAGTATGTAATGAAAAGGAATGTATGGGCGGTGACGTTGGCCAAATTGAAGCAACGCTCGCCGACCCTGGTCCTCTATAACAGAGCTAACAATGCCATATCTCCGACGATAAGATCGTGTATTTGAAAAACATGTAAATATCGTGCTAACACGCATAGATTGCGCGCACGATTTGGTCGCACATTCGTGATATACACACAAGAAAATGTTCCACATGGAGAAAGAAATACTCGAAAATTTTGTTGTAGCATATGAAGAGTTTAGTTTACTTCTATGAATAAACTATCTCACAAATAAATTTTCAAGAATCCTTTCCTCGGTGTATCTTGAATCAATTTGACATTTATGATAAATTTACGATAGATTCGCGGATATACTTATGGAATACTTAAAACGTACATTTACTTAAACGCAGTATGCATCTTCCTGTGTGTATTTTTCCAGCAATAATACTCTTAATCGAGGATTGAACAAATATAATTTTTAAAAGACATTTTCATATAATTGTAGAAAAGAAAAGGAGTAAATTATTCGCTTTATCCCCCTCCCCTAGTTTTCTAAATTATTCGAGACACAACAGCCGGATTTATTTTTTTCACGTGCGTAGGTAACGGAAGCACTCCAACTACTAATTCGTTTTCGCGAGTCAATGCTTCATCCGCAATCAAGTATAGCAACTAGTGTGATGTTGCCACCAGAAGCCATCTTTTCCGTCTGGCAGAGGCAGAGTACTTTGTTAACCGTTCCGTAAGGGGATTACCGTTACGTGGTTATGCCACTGCAGGTTCAACGTCACGGTGTAAACCGCGCAACGGCCGATGCCATGATGATGCGCGTGCACACGGTGCGTGCTTCCAGGTCGATCGGAAGACCATCGACGTCGAACATCTCGTCGGAATTATCCTCTCATTTACACCCTTATTTCAGCGGGCTAATCTTAACGCAATCTTAACGAGCGCCATGAAATCCAGAGAAATCGAATAACTCCATCTCTGTCATACATATTATTTTTTCCAAACGTTCCTTTTCTGTTTTCACTTGAGCTGTGAAATCTTTTCGCGCGTGATTTGATGTAACGTCTCAGGACGATTTAATAATCGGGATTTCAGAATGGTCCGCGAACCGGAAATGAAACTTGGAAACCGTGCAACAATGCGTCTTGAATTTCAACATGAAAGTGGACGCGACGGAAAATGTGTTTCAGCGAGAATAATGCGTGGAAGATGCGAATTTTGTGAAGCCAATGGCGAACATCAGCCAAGATTCACGGCCGAAAATTGTCTTCCGGGTTTCGTAAGGGTCTCGTTGGAAGGCGCAAAGCCCAGTCGACAAGTTGCAATAATAACATAACGGGAATAAACGCGTGCAAGTGCGAGGAATTGGTAAGAGAAAGATGAGAAAGAATTGTCGAAACATTTCAACGTATTCTCCTTTCGAAAGGGAGTATTCAAAGAGCAGCTTGGACGTTGCACACAAACATCCGAGCGAAGCAATAAACGAACAGCGACGTTTAAGTGACGCCACTATGAGAAAGAGAGAGGAAGAGAGAGAGAGAGAGAGAAGGAGAAAGAGTTAAAAATACCGTTTTACATTCAAAACGGATTTTCGGGGTAGCCGTAACTAAGATATCGGCCGGCGGTGAACATTTCCAACACGCGGTCGCGGTCGTGGAGACAAGCGTTTGCATCGAGGCCGTCGAGAAAGTTAAATTTTCTCGTAGAAAGTATCGATCCCAACCCAATAGACCCCAGGCAGGTCGTTTCTAATTCAGTTGTCGCAAAAACTCGCCAACGTAAAGCACTTATCGAAGTCGTTATATTCCCCGCGTGTCTCGCACGAGTTATGTACAACGTAAGTACGAGCGATCCTCAGTGCATTTCCGCTGTCGGATTGAAGCTTGGACGCGCTATTAGCATCTTGAAAAATGAGCGAAAGCGTCGGTATCGTTGACCTCTTAATACGGGTTGTCAATGACGCGAGTCTCTAAACAAATTGGAACCCGTATGCCGAGAAAAGAAAGCAGTTGAGCTGACAACAACATCGGCGGTCAGTCACTTTCAAAGAAACATTGTATCTATTAAACGAATCACGCGACAATGTATAAGTTGCGTTAATGCAGTTACTGACCGAATCGCAATCATTGAATCAATTAATAACACACGCATCACAGCAACTATATAATTCATTCAGTCGACTAAACATTTGCTCTTAAACGAATTTTGTTCACAAGCAAAGTCTCATTAATTCAATTACTTTTCTTTTCTTAATGTGGATAGCTATCGGCGTGTGCAAATAATTGAGCGACACAGCTTAATCGCTCAAATCTGGAAGTGAGCAATTGGCCGTAGGAGAAATTAATTCCCGCAATTTTTCTCTATCAATACAAAGCGGCAAGAGACCAGAGAACCTCGTGTTCCAATCTCACCTGCTCGCTGTTGTACACAGGTGTTGCTCGGGGAGATCACACACGATCGCACGGGAGGGAATTTCACGGGTGAGAATACCGCTTGCGAAGGACAAAAGCGGCGAGAATGAAACGCTCTGTTAAAAGTACAATTACGGAACGGTCGTTCTGCTTTTTGCATGACCTTTTGTATCGTAACCGACTCTGCCTCCGATTCACACATACTGTCATCGTCCAGGTGGAAACCGTGTACGGTAATTGCCGTTCGTAGTAGAAGATAACGTGGCGTGGCGTTATGTAACCGCTGCCTCTGTCCGCGTGCAACACTTCCAAGGCGAAACTCATTGGAATATAAATGATCAAAAAAATCATTTCTGACATCTTTTTCCTCATTCACGCGATCCCGCGCGAAGAACGCGGAGCTACCGTGAGCGCGACAAATGCAAAATAAATCGGCAACACCGAAATCCCGGGAGGCGGATAATTTTTACGATGATCCACCTGTGACGCCTGGCAACACTCCCAGACGAAACAATGACACAACTAAGAGAGAGAGAGAGAGAGAGATTCGGCGTTACAAAAAAAGGAGTCGCGAGCGTTCGTCCATTCTAATCTTGAATCTCGAGCGTTTCGGAGCGAGATGCTACACGCGCTGCCAATTGGCAACGGCATTACGATACTACGATACTTGCAGATGTTTGCAATTATCAAAGTAAGCACAAAAAGATGTAAATCTTTGACCGTGCCAGAATATTGCTCAAGCGTATCGATTAATCGCACTTGATCCCTCGGCATATCTATAAGTTACAAACTCAGACCTGGAGACCTCATGGAGATCGCGTGGTCTTATAAAAATATTCCTCAAGTGCTAAAGCACCTATTATTAGCTCTTACGTGATGAATATCGAGTCCATCCCGAGCTAAGTCTACTCTACGAGTAAGGAGACGCATATAGAGTACTTATAATGCTTAAAAAACAATTAACTGGAAGAGAATTAGAAACAGTGACCGAGTGATAACATCACTCGACCTAAAGCGGTTAATTATTATTATTTGTTATTCCGGAGAATATGATGATCAATGATCTCTCCTTACGTGACATTTTCAAAACTATCAATCAATCACAAAACTGTTTTATCATTAAATTCAGTTTCATTTAATTAAAATATATTCAGGTTGATCAAGCAACGTATGAAACTATTAACTTCGGGAAAAAAAGGACTCATAAGAAAAAGGCTCTCTTGAATTTTTTCCTTTGATACATATAATTGTATGTAATGAGGCGCGAAAGCATGTTGAAAACTCACGCTACCCATCGTAATAAAAACACGTCTTCAGATTATAAAATGCCGCAAAGACCGTTATAAAGCAAGTTCGTACGGGATTTTGATTATTTTAAACTCTTCCGGAACAGCGTATATAGAATGGAACCACGCAGACCACGAGTAAATCAACGTACTTACACGTCGAGCGACGTTATTCTATCTCTGAGAAAAACGATACGTGCAAGGTCGCAAGCGCCGCACTATTGCGTTCCCGCGAAAGGACTGTGGAATTTACGAAACAATACACGTGAATTTAGTGTCACACCGTACCGTTAGATTAGACCCAGTTACCATGGCTGACACGGAATTCCCGATTGGCGCTCGCAAATCGCGACTGCGAATGTTTACGCGAGGCGGGGTAAAACGGGCGATATCGCTTACCAGCTGCACTAACTTGAGGATGCCGGGTATGGTCTTGAAGTAGGGCACGTTCAGCCGGATACCGTTCAGAGGGTTCGGCTGACCCGGTTCCGTCTTCACCGTCGGCACCTGCCGCGGATTGTTGCTGGCGTTGTTGCTGGAACCGTCCATCGTCACCACGGTCTCCGACATCATGTTACGCCGATCCACACGCCGTTCGGTTCACCACGCGCGCTCGATCGTGTACTCGTGCCAGGCCTTCGCGGAGGGCCCCGGAGTGAAAGGCGACGGGGACGGGTAGTAAACACCGGGGGAGCGAAATGGAGGAACCGGTACCGTGGCAGAGCTAGCCGATCGCGGGACACCTGTTGTATACGCTCGCTCACCACGGCGCACTCGCGCACACGGAGGCCTCAACACTGAACACTGCCTACGTATTAACCGCGGAGCCGCTATTCTCCCACTGTTACCACCGCCTGCTCCGGCCACGGTACCAACAGTGCCGGAGCAATCGACCGGATGAACGGTCGGGTTTTCCTTTTACATTGCCGCGAATACCGTCGCGCGTACGGCACGAATCTCCTTCATTAATTCGCTTTAATAACTGTCACTCGAGACTCATTTCATGTGACATGCTCGAATTTTTATTCCGAGTTAAATAAAAAATTGTTAAATTAAATTGCAATATATGTGACATTTGTGTCTGTAATTCTCGAAGATTCTCAAAGAAATTCTCATCTAACTCTAGATTCAAATCTAAGACGTATTGATAGTCATTGCTTGACGTTTCAAGTGAAACACTCGGATTTCAATTCAGAGTTAGATGAGAGTTTTTCAATTGAATCGCTAAGACCTGCATTAGTAGTTGTTACCTGAAACTTGTCTCACATGAGATACTCAAATTGGAATTCAGAGTTAGATATAAATTTGACAGGTAAATCGTATGATATATGTGACGTTACATTTGTAATCGTCGTTCCACTGAAAAATTTACGTCTAATTCTAAATCCAAATCTAAAAATCTCACTTGAAACAAGTTTCAAGTAATAACTATTTATTTGGAAACTATAAGTGTCACATATATTATATAATTCAACTAAAAAACATGAATCTAATTCTGAAGAGAAATCAAAGTATCTCATTTGAGACGAGTTTCAAACAATGGCTATTATAAGATAAAAATATTTAAAGTAAGTAAGATATTATTTTCCGGACCTTATGGTTTTCATCTTTAAATGCGAAATATTTAAACTTTCGACATAGAATATATGTATATATTCAATATATGTATCTTTTATGTTAAAAGTTTAAATATTCGCATTTGAAGACTAAAACAATAAGAATGTCTATATTAGATCCGGGCATTGTAACTTTCACCTTAATATAGACCTAAGTGTATGAAGACTGTGATGCCAATTTATCTTTAAATATAATGGAAAATAAGAATTTGCGACACGTATGAAAAGCTATCTCGTGTCTCAGTTTAAATCAGTTCTTCAGTTCTTTATGATTGATCACTGAATATCATTCTTATCGAATGTTACTCAGACTAATGTGATAGCTGAGAAACGAATGTCAGTCAAAAGCGTATTCAAATTTGTTTAACAGCAAAATAAAATTCTTCCGTGTATAACATAAGTGAAGGTGATTATTCACGACTTTTCGATTATATATTTCTATAAAATCTTTCAAAGTTATTTAACTTACGTGTTAAAGATCATATACGATGATACGTTTAATATCTCGAGCCCTGTGGAAATATTAACACGTCACTGATTTATCCCACTTCTCATTTCTAGTTGTGGTAGTAGGGACGTTACGTCGTCACGATGTGTACTTCTCTTAATCTCTTTTCCTTTCCACTTTGTCGTCACGCTTGTCACCTAAAGTTGCAACAGTTTTATTGCTAGTTCGCGCGACACGAAAATACCTCGCATACTCATACACATTAATATACATTCACGCGCGCGATGACAGTCAATAACGTCAAATTTACTCGACTTGCAGTTTTCTTTACGAAACGAGCAATATTTTAATAAGCGGCTTAATTAATGTCAATCGCGAGTAGGTTAATTCTGGTTAATTCCAAGTACTTGTCCAGTTCTCCCGTTGGTGCCAATAACCTCATGCTAACGAAGGATATCTTCGAGTAGAGAAAACAAATCAAACTTAATTGATCAGGTATAACAAGAAGAAAAGAGTAAAACAATTATGAAATGACGAAAGTTCGGCGTGCACGCGAACGAGCGCCATATCATTACGCGGCAAACTGAAGTGAGCGCATTCAAATCGGTCGAATCGAGCGCTGCGCTCGAACGAGTGCAGTCGATAGTTCGTCACGTGACCAGGCGCCGGGTCATGTGATGTAGTACGTAGTACGCATGTCACGTGACGTATACGACTATCAGCTGATAAATACTACATTCATGCGTGCTGACACCCCTCGAGTGGGTGGTTTGGGCGCCCTTGTGCGCGCCGATCACCAGATTGAGACAGATCAGTGTGTTGTTATGAACGTGACAGGTCTTGCTTACAGAAAGTACAAAACGTCGTACATCCCCGCCAAGCACAACGACGCGAAGAGAAATGACAAGTCCGACCGAGTCGGGAGCGCTTAGACACTAATTGGCGAGGGTACCCCCTGGCAAATCAATGGCATAAATGCGCTCGGCTATCAGCGTTATCCTGTCGAGCCCGGTACCCGACAACAAGATGTCCCATCCCGATTACGAGCAGACCGCCCACGATCACGCCGCCCTGCTGCTGCTGCTGAGACCCATCGGTACGCAGATCAAGCCCAAGACGGTTAGTAGGTTATGTGAGAGGATCATCAAAGCTGGCAGCAGATTTTCCGTATCCGACTCGAGCGGCGGCACCCGGGAGATCCTCGCGCGGTTCGTGCGCGAGCACCCCGTGGAGAACAACGATTGGGGGGACTTTCAGACTCATCGGAGGTTGCTGGGTCTCGTCACGTTCGGCAAGTACGACAATCAGGCCGAGCTGAACGAGCTATGCAGGGTGCACGAGACCTTGAAAGTGAAGTACAGCAGTACCTTGTACGACTCGCGCGCTATCCTGTTCGGTGCGCTCGAGTCGAACGGCCGTCACGAACCGCCGCCAGGCTACACCACGCCCAGCAACTTCAAGACCCGCGCGGTGTTCTACGCTGACGAGTCCTGTCCTGATCTGGAGACGCAAATTGCCGAGTATCTGAACTTCCTGTTCTGGATCTTGGAGTCCAAGAGGCTGGAGCGTTCTCGGGAGAAGATAGACCGTGTCTCTCTTCTCCTGGCACCATTCGAGAAAAAAGACTTTATAGGACTGGACCTTGAATCTAGAAATAACAAGAAGAGATGTGTAGGTCGTATGACCAAGCATCTGGGCGACTTGTGTCTTCAAGCTGGCCTCCCAGCTGAGGCACTGAGTCATTATAATTCTGCAGCCAACATCCTGCAGGCAGTCAATGATTGGTTGTGGCTGGGAGCTGCGTACGAAGGTCTCTGCGCTGCTTCAGTCTTGGTTCTGTATCCCAATATGTGTCGGAGTCTTCCGTTGCAAAGGAATTCTTCCCTGCAGGAAGGTAGTCCAAGTAAACAGAGGTAAGGATAACCTTTCAGCTAAATGTATAATTTGTCATAAAAAAAATGTGAAATAAAAGAAATCTAGTTAAGATTTTAAAGTAATGTCCCAGTAATTAAACATGTCCCAATAATTGAAGCATTAATAATATATTTGTATTTAATATTTCTAAGGAAAGAGAGCCTTTGAAATGTTATTTTATTAAAAAAAAAAAAAAATATATATATATATATATATATATATATATATATATATATAAATTCATAGTATTATTTAATGAACACTCAATCACTGAGTCTACATTATTCGGTAATTAAAACATGATTAATTTTTCAATCTAATTATTAGTACAACTAGCATTATCTAATATATTAAAATTGTAATTGATATTTATTGACTATTTGATTTTTCCTATTAGATTTTTTGATTGTTGACAAACCAATCCTTGAATTATTTATTAATAAAGATGTAAAACTGACTGTGCCTTCTTATTAATTCAATCATTGGGATATTTATCTTACCTGTTTATTCTGAAACACTGACTCGTTATTTTACAGACGAGGGTCGCAGGCTATCGCAGCTCTACCGGCTCCACCTAGTATAGAAGTAATAAAAACTAGCATGCCGCATATTTTGCAACCTGATGAAATATCGAAGAAATATCGTGACGCTATAGTGCATTATAGTAAATATCAGTACGCAGGTATAATTGAAACGGAGGCTAGTTTTAAGGCAACGAGAATCTCAATAGAACAGAACTGCACTTTACAAGCTGCGTCGTATTTAAACAATGTTGTACTGATCAATTTGCCTCTGAGCGAGCAAGAAAAAGTACGTACCGTAGGGTAATATGGAGAACTCCAAGATATAAAACGCACATGAAGGTATCATATAGATAAAACATTTCAGATTGATCGATTTACTACACTATCAGATCTATACACGAGCTTTGGTTTTGATAGAAAAGCTTCATTTTGTCTGCGTTTAGCCGCCACACGCCATGTGTCACAAAATAATCCCAATCCGGACTGGCAGCAGTGTTACAACTTGATGTTGCAAGCTACACCCGGATTTAAGTTGTCCTTGGATCCCGTCGACATGCCGTTAGGTAATTATTACAGTTATCAAATGTATATTCATTGTCACAATAAAAGTATCATGGACTTTTCTTTTTATTTTGAATATATCTTGTTCTCGAATGTTTCTACCTCAATAATTATTTCAAGTCGATTCTTTTTCTCTCGTAGATGGGCAAAGAGGATGGCCAATTATACAGATTCAAGTGATAAATGAGCTGGTTGCTGCTGCAAATCGAATGGGTAACCCAGCTCTTGCTACAAGGCATATGACGTTTCTGCTTCAAACGATGTATAATCATCTGACGCCTGACGAACGGAAAGATACTGCGTTACAACTTCAAAATGTGTCTCAACAGTGTGAGGGTGCACCTGTCCCTCTTGTATGTTAAGGAAATTAAGGCTATGAAGAATGACATTATACACACCCACACATTTATGATAAAAGAAATGTCTAACAGGTTTTAGATTCTGGAACCGTTATACCACCAGCCAACTTGCTAAATATACCAAAAACAAAATCGTTCACCCTGAAAAACATGCAACCGCATTTACAACCTCAGAAAATAGAAAGAGTGAAAGAAGATCATGGTCCATTTTTATTCACGCCGATTAACTTCGGATCATTGGAGCGCAAGAACACCTCGAAAAGTAAAGTTGGTATGTACGTACCTAAATGTTGACTATTATCATCGACATAATTTGACAATACATCATCTACATGGCATATTTTTATCATAGATTACTTATGGGTGGAAGGAGACATCTGCGAGGTGTCGATGCAGCTCATAAATCCTTTACCGTTTGAATTGCACGTATCTAACATGAGGCTCCTGACAAATGGCGTAGTATTCGAGTCGATACCGGAAAGCATCAGTCTACCCGCGAAATCCGGGCCGATCGCGGTTACGTTGGCAGGCAGACCCAAAGAGGTTGGTGATTTGGAGATACTCGGGTTCAGCACACACACTTTAGGAGTGAAGTCGAACTGTCGATTGAGGCACATGGAGAGCATGTTGCATCCGCAGTACACGGTCGAAGTAATTCCAGCCTTACCAAGAATCGACGTCGCGACCAGTTTGCCTCAAACTGCCAGTTTTAGCTCAGGTGACAATATAGTCACGAGCGCGAGTATATCGCTCTACGGTGGTGAGAGGTTCGCATTCACGATAATCGCTCTATCAATTATGCTGTTAATTATTATACTGTTCTCCTATACAAAATCGCTCAAATGATGTCGCTTATATTTGCAGCGCTGAATGCACCGTAACCATCACAAACGTTGGACAAGTTCCCATCGAGATGGTAGAGTTGTCGGTACAATCCGCTTTAGACGCTATAACTGAAAGTAAAATCTTCAAGTGGAGCGATGAGAATCTAATGATGCAGTTACCTCTACAACCTGGCAGTAGCGCGAGTCTCACTCTATATTTGTATGCAGCAACGGATTTCGTGGCGCCTTCAATTAGAAACGGTAACGTCTACGCGAATCTTCTCAAATTTCCAAACAGTCTTTCAATTTCCATTAGTAATATATAATTTGCTCTTTCAGACGTTATTAGTAGCACTTGTCTCAGTCAGCCAAGCAGCCTAATGTCACATTCGGGTCACAGCTCCTTGCCGTCTAGACTCAGCTCTCCATCTCACCACACCAAAAGACAATCCGAACTGACCTCCTCCTTCAGATCGGGAGTAAGTTCGCAATCCGGTCATTCTTCTTTAGCGAGCACGCGTCTGTCGAAATTGGCGATACCTCTACACACGTCCAACGTCATCGAGGGTCAATTGAGAATAAAATATTCGGGAGATGCTGGCCTGACGTCTGGTTACTGCAGAACTTCGTCTGTTTTTATAACTATTGAGATGCTACCCAGTGTACAAATCACCAGTTGGGATGTGTTGCCGGCTGAGACGTAAGTTACAAAAAACTCGGATGTTACGTAAACATGTTTATTCGTACAATCTATAATTTGTATGCAGTCTTAAAAATTCGATTTATAAAAAGTCGCCTTTTAACGGGGTTTTAGGCCGTTACAATTCTATCTCGTGTTGGACGTAACAAATATGACAAATCATGAAATGGAATTGCATTACACACAGAACAAATGTATATACATGGAAGGTAAAGAACCATGTAGAATACCAGTGCCGGTCGACCGATGTCCGCTTAATAAATTGTCTATGGTAATGAAGGGTATAATTATATTTATTTAGAAATGCATCATGACATAATACTAATTTACCGCTCTCTACTTATAGTCGAATGGCGCTGGTGACACCGGTGAGCTCCAAAAGATATGCGCTGAACACATAGTCTCATTGGTAGACTTGCGCTGGCAATTACTTGGCACAGAGTCAACGGGTAAAGCAACTCTATCCGGTATTACTTTGACTCAGGATATGTTAGATCTAGTGAGAATGAGTCCTCTCCAATGGGGTGCGTATTATATGGTATTTTCTGTATATTTATATCGCTTAACTGAACGTCGGGCAAAATGAACGAGTAATGAATATCTTCCAGAAATAACCATCAACGATGTTACTGTGAAAGCGCAGGATGAGTTGACGTGCGGTTTGGGTGAATGTGTCAGTGTCGGTGTGGGAGTATGCAACGCTCTGGAACATCCGCTCAACGACCTCACATTGTCCATCAACTTCTATCAGGATCATCACAACGGCGTTAATAATTATCAATTAGAAACGAGATTGTCTATAGCTGGGGCGAATAAGGTCATGCTGCCTGCTGTGAGTTGCAACTTTTATAAATGTAGTTTGTGATGCACATATGTGATATGTGTTTCCTATTATTATGGATAAATAATGATAGTTGCAGGAATACGGCAGAGCGTATCACGAATGTCGTGTAGTGTTCTTCACAGCTGGTCAATACAAGATAGATATTCAATGCAGCAGTAAAGAATCCGCTCCGAACTCGCCGGTGCCCTACTCAGAACTTGTGAATGCCGGGCACACATGGCGCTACATTCCGCCAATCGAGATAACAGTCGACGATTATTAACAAACCACTGTCCACGTAAATACTAGTAAATTGTAATATTTGTAAAATAATGGAAAATGTTGTTGTATTCATTGCATATATAAAAATAAAACTTTTACTTTCTTTAATTAAGATAAAAAATTAAAAGCATCATTCCGTCTGCGCCACGTCTTGATATTTGACAGCATGGGTTAAATGTTCGCAAAACTATATCTCCTCTATCAAGTCGCGATCATTATATTAATTATTACAATATTATAACTATCAATAGATTTTTCGTACACACATAATATGATATTGCATGTGCTGAAAGTAAGTTGTTTACTTCCAACAAATCACATATATAGAAAAACGTTTAAGAGCGTAGAAAATATAAAAAATACTCTATTTCTCTAGCTTTATCTTCTTGCCTAGTGGAATCATCTCCATCTCCTGCAAATTTCTACGGAACTTCTTATAAAATTCGAGTACAGCTGTATTGGCCCATACCTGTTGGCTATTGAAGTCTAAAATACGTAAACTCTGTAAACTCTGAGCTCTAGAAAGTGCTACATACGACTGACCAGCATCAAACACTCTTGATAGGCACATTTCTACGCAGTCTAAAGTTAAACCCTGGCTCTTATGAATTGAGAAGGCCCAAGCTAATTTTAATGGGACTTGCTTTCTGTGCACAAGAGCACCAGAGCTGGTTTTAATGCTCCACTTTTCCATTTTTGCCTCATAATGAGTACCAGACCGCAACTGAACTACTGGTACATCATTTTTAAAATCTATAATAACGCCCCGAGCTCCGTTTACTAACCCACTAGTAACATTTATATTCCTCAACAACATGACTTGAGCGCCAACCTTCAATACTAATTTGCCAGGTATACCTAACTGCTGGTCCAATGTATGCGTCATAGAACTGTCAGAATCCAACGCAGTATATACTTTGGTTTCACCTTTCAGTTCATTCAGTTGAAATTCATTAATCTCATCGGCTTCCTTAACATGCGAACACAATCTGGTCGCCAACACTCCGTTACTTTCAATCTTCTGTTTTGCTGTCTCCTTCAAAGTATCCACGATATCATCCGTGACTCTGCCTATTCTAATGTTATTCAATATTTTCACAAACGCCTCATCTTTTTGCCTGTGAACTGTCCTCAGCTCATAGTTAAAGTGAACGCACTTCTGCCAAGCTTCGCTTTGAAAGCAAAACTTTGCACCGTCATTGTCTCTGGACACAGGTGGTAGCTGGAAAAAATCACCACACAAGATCAGCTGTATCCCACCAAAAGGCCTTTCCGTTCTGCGCACGTGTCTCGCAACCGCCTCGATTTTGTCGAAAAAGTCACCGTCCACCATAGAAATTTCATCAATCACTAAGTGCTTCGTTTTCCTCCAGATTGCAGTAGAGGCTGCTCGCGAGGCCAACTGGAAGCATCTGTCCATTGTGCCAGTGCCTAGACCGATACCAGCAAACTGATGTAACGTGATTCCACTTATCTGACAAGCCGCTACCCCAGTGCTTGCTGTGGCCATTGTCACATCTGGAGGTAGGGCTGAGATTATCTTCCTCAACAGAAACGACTTTCCAGTTCCTGCACTTCCAGTGAAGAAAACATTCTTTCCATTACGCACTGCGCTCAAGATTATATTCTGTTCCTCAGTCAACTTCTCCGTAGTAGGATTCTCATATAACCTCTTCACAATAGGCATTGCGGGAGTATTACCGTCACTAAGACGCTTCCGTTTCTTCACAGAACTCGGCGACGGGGTAGTGGTCGTTTTACGTGACACAGCCAAGGCTTTCTCCTTTGCTTTGTTGATCTCTGTGCTGGTAGCTGGACTGATGTCGTTGGCACCATCTGATCGTATATTACTGAGAAGCCTCTCTCTCAGGGGATTTTTTAATGTGCTCTCGTCCTGACCGGTTAGTTTGATGAATATAGTCCTCAAGAAACTGATCAGCTGAGAGGATGGCGCATTCGACAAGAACAACGTGCAGTTCTGTTCCTTGAACTTGATGGACGCTTTCCCCTCGATCATAAATTTATTGAATACTGATATACCTTTCAAGGAGAGCCTCGTCCGAGCATTCGCTTTCTCTGCATGGATCTCGATGAACATTTCACGCCGATTATCCCGAATCAAGCGCAAGGAAGCCGTTCTATGAGTTATCTTTCGCAAAATAGACCCTTGGGTGTTTAACCATTCCACCGTGACGGTGCACGTCAGCGAACAACTATCCGAATCCATGTTTCCTATGAGAATAGAATTACCTATCGAGAAAATATGTTAAGCCAAATTCTTTAGAGTAATACAATCATGCTACCATTAATTATTTGTATCAAATTACCAGAATTTCTAAATTTACGTCACCAGCATCTGACACGACACACTGGTTGAATGAACGTAAAACGCGGCAAACGCAGCGGCAGCAGTGTATTCGATCGATGAATCGATAGTCGATTCTTTCGTTTTGGAAGAAGGTCGATTATTCTCGATACTAAAAAATTCGATGCGGATAAAGCTTATATTTCATCTGCTATAGATAAAAACTTATTAATTAAACGTAATAAAAACTTACTGAGTCGTATTAATTTAAAACAAGATTTTTTAATTTGTTTCATTGTCGGAAAGAAGCCTGGAAGCGGCCACCAGCTTGATAGTTGGTTTGTTCTTTGGTCTCTATTTTTCGGCTGCATTGCTGAACAGGTGCAATAAGTTAGAGTGAGAAAACATTATTTGTCTCATTTTAACTTATTGCACCAGTTCAGCATTGCAGTTAAAAAGAACAAACCATTTAGTGGCTAGAACTACGTAGATTTCGAGACGCCATCTAATAAAATGCGCTTTTACTACGTTTGTTAGGCGCATTTTCGCGGTGGTAACACAAATGCCTATAGGTTTGTTCGCGTCGCATGCTCCAACGTGCTCCTACTCGCTCCAACGCATTCTGATTGGTCCGCGTTGTAACGTGACCAAACAGAGTGCGTTGGAGCGAGTAAGAGCACGTTGAGGCATACGACGTGACAAACCTACCGGCCGGTATTCATAGTCAGATCTTATATTTAAGATTGCTTAAGTTTATCTTTAGATACTCCGTAGCCAATGAAATAACCCGTACATCATCTGAAGATAAACTTAAGCGGTCTTAAATATAAGATCCGACTATGAATATCGGCCTATATGACCTAAATAACCTGCATTAACCTCAGCAAACAAGTTCCGGCTTAACCGCCGTCACGACAAGACGTGTTCGAACATGTTCGGACCTTGTGATTTTTTTGGATCGTGTCTTGGAAATTTCCAAGACTTTACTCTTAAATTATATCATTAATCGGTAACTGGCGTAGGGGCATTACTCTTATAGAGGCCTGTAGCCATATATTGAAGGAAGGAAGGAAGGAAGGAACCTCAGCAAACAAGAGGTTTGTTTTTCGTTCCTGCACTGCTGAGCTGGTACAATAAGTTAGAGCGAGAAAAAATATACTTGTCTCACTTTAATTTATTGCATCAGTTCAGCAGTGCAGGAACAGAAAACAGACCCAAGATGACGTCAAATGACATCTTAATGACGTATTAAAGATATCTTGCGACATTTTTTAGACATGCATGTTATCTACCCTTATAGAAATATTATACTAAGAATCATTGATAATTACTTATTTTCAGTATTAAAAATACTGGATAATAAGTAATTATCAATGATTCTTAGTATGATATTTCTATAAGGGTAGGATGTCAGACGCAACGTTCATTTTTGTTCATTCCCATATAGCACAAGATTTAAAAGATGCCCCAAAGACATCCAGAGGATTGTTAAATGTCCGCATAAGTCCTCAGAATATCCTAAAAATATTCCGAGGACTTTTAAATGTCCATACAAGTCCCCAAGATATCCCTTCAAGACTTATGCTATGAGAGTTAGTACAGTTAAACAGCAAATTTTACTTTTTAATATTATTATAATAATATTATATTATTTGATTAATCATAATTTACATTAAATAGATATTAAATAGTTTAAAAGAATTAAAACTCAATTGAATATTTTTAAGACATAATTATTAAAAATTAGTTTTTATTATAACTAATTATTTAGGTATCAATGTAGCTTCTTAATATAGTCCATTTTTGTCTAAAAAATATAAATAAATTTAAAAAATTAAAGAAATAAATTTTCTTTGAAAAAATAAATACAGGCGTTGCACACAGATATTGAATAATAAAAGATCTCTTAAAACTATCTTTCTTTTCTTTTTCATCTTTACTTCAATATATTATAATACATTTAATTGATTCGCGCGAGTTTTACATCAAATGTACATATCGCGCTTTTTTTATACAAATATTATATACACATACCTATATGTAAAGAGAAGAGTAAGTGAGAGTATACGAGGTGGCATGTCCAACTGAACGTTTACATTTATGGAAATATTCTTATATTCTAAAATTTTAACACAATACTTCACGGTACGTGGCGTTACTTTTGCATTCCTCAGTAAGGAACTTTCGGACACATTTATTTGTACATTAATTATATCTAGAATATCCTTCATTATATTATATTCGATTCTGTCGAATAATTCACCGACATTGTTGAAAAGATATATCTCCAGTAAACGATAAAAAATGATTTCGATACCCTGAGCTTTCTATCGAATGTAAAAAATAAAATTTTTGCACAGTAGTTATGAACAAAATACAATTATATAAATATATTAATTTTCATATAACACGATAATATATCTGAGCAAAAAGAAATAGCAAGTGTATATATGATAATTGACTATAGGCTCGTGTATGGTTACCGAAAAAATATAGTCATATTAAAAATACTTAATACATTACGACCTGTACAGTTATATTAAAATATATTCGGCTTTAATAACCCGCTTTTTCATTTACTTACGTCGCGTGTGCATAGAAGTCGCTATGAGAACCGACAGTCGTTCGATATCTTTCTTTTCGCGTGCTGAGCTCGCATGTCAATGGTAGACATATAGAGTTTTGAAAGGGTCGAGGTATATCAAGAGGACTTAACGGATATTCCAACATGCTTTAACAAGTACCTCAAGTATTCTAAAATATTGAAATCACCTGTACACTATTATACATACATTCGCATGAATTAAGATTTACTACAGACAGTTATGTATTAGTGACATAGTGTATCCCTCGGCGAAAGAAGATAGAATCAAAAGTGATTCGATCTAAATCACCGAAATCGAAAATAAACGACACAAAAAAAGCGTGGAATAGAAACTGCTATTGTTTCGTCTGTTTCTCTCTCACATGATCAGTGTCGAAAAAAAGTTTAAACCTTTTAGTTCTACCTCTTTTTTTTAGGAATACGCGTGCGAACGTGCATCGTGTACATTCACGGACAAGCGTCATGCAATTTTTTCTTTTTTTTTCTTTTATCATGTGCGAGAGAATCCGTGCGTTATCACGGGTGTCCGTGGTGCTGCAGATTGTGCAACTCGTAAGCGAGATGACAGCACTCGGAATCACTCCATCGATGCTGCTCACGTATCCTGCCCTCAACATTCGGTGCCGACACTTCTGATACCTGAGAGGAAGAAAGTCGCTCGTTAATTTCAATGCGAGACTCGTTTTCCCTCGACGATAAAAAATAATCTACTTGCTCAAAGGAAATTTATTATTTCATTGCGCAATAGGCTTTTGAGGGAGAAGCAATCGATTTCGTGTTATACTAAAGCTACAGATTCAAAGGGAAACGATATCTAGTCGCTTCTCCCGAGAGATTTATGTTTCCACGACTAACCGCTCTTCTTCTTTTTCGCTCCGTCCCGTATCATCAATCATACGACTGCCGTAACATTGACCGCCGCAGATATGTCTACTACAGCGCGAATAAAAAAAGAAAGTCGCAGGTTTCCGTTTAACGAAGATTAACTCACGTTCGAGCAGAAGGAGAGCAGCGATTGATCGGTGTACTTGCTGCACAGTGGCGATGTATGGTGACTGTGTTGACTCTGCGTCGCCTGCAGCACCGTCGGTTGACCGTTACCGGCGATCTCTAGGTAGCCCCTGCTGTTCGCTAAACTACCTCCTCTCGTTCCACTATCTGCAAAATTTTCTTTCACAAAGCTGTCGTACCCAATAAGCACCAACTAACAATAATGTTACATCAATGTTATAATTACCCACTCAACGATGTAATGTGTATTATATAACACTTGCATTATATTGCGTTTACATTGTGGAATAAGCAATTATAACATTGATGTTATGTTATTGACAGTTGGTGTTTACTGGGGTATGCACAATATGGAAGCTCACAAAGAGTTTTACACAAGACTAATGTTGAAGCAACGTCAAAATTTTTCGGACATTCTTCACGTGTCATTACTCTATCGCTAGTCCTTTAGAATGTTACAATGCAGTTGCACATTCGTCAGTTCGTCCAGTCAAAGATCACCGATTCACCAATTCTTCGTTTCAAAAATTAATCAGTGCGCTCGCGTTTCACTGTAATTCCCAGAACAGTTTTATCTATCTAAAACAGGTGAAACGTTAAAAGATCTTAAAGACACGTTTAGTATCGGCTCAATTGCAAAGCAATGCACCGCTTCGTTCAATCAAACTTATTTAGAGAATCGAATTGGTCACTTTCAACATTCGATACAACGACTTGGCAAAGGCAAAGCGAGTCGTGACGTGCCGTCAGTAGATGAAGCTGTTTCATGAAACAAGATATAGATGAGAGACACGAACACGGTTCGTAGGACTCAAGAGGACACCTTGTGTACTCGCCATCGAGTGGGTGGACCGACGAGTCGCCCGCTCTTGAAATAGGCACGAGGGTGATTTCCAACGTGCCCTCCACCATATGGGCCGCTTCGAGTGCCGATTAGGCTTTCCCGAGATGTTACAGCTACACGTACTGACGGAGTGTGTCGAAGGTCGTGGGCCTAATCGGCGTAGATGCGTCCATTTGCTGCTGCGAAGTGCTCTCGATACCTCGGCCCTCACCTCGCCGTTCAGGAAGCAGTACAGCACCGCCACGAAGAAGCCCTATTCGAACAAGATCACTCCAGTCATTTCCGTTTGTCGAGCGTAGCAGAACGGCATTACGCAAAGAGATGAGAGTTAATACGATTAATTATACGTCGAAATTACATTGTCGTGAGCTTGGAAGAAAATACATTCTCCTAGATTGTGAGACTTCGTATTATAGCGACTTGGCTACTTCATTTCTGGAAATTATACGGGTTAATGAATCTTGGCGTAACACTGTTCGTCCTAATCGGTCGATGAGACGTAATTTACGTAGTGGCTCATGACTGGCGCTTTCTCGCATAATAACTTAAGAATAGTAGTGTTTGTGCACTAAAGCAGAGATTAATGCTATTAATAATGGCGTATTACCTGGAACGACGCGAACAGCTGGTCACAGAAGAGCCATACTATCTCCACGGTCTCGTTCACACCAATGCTATACGTCATGCCCAGAAAGACCGTGTAGTGCACTCCGAAGAGCGGCATCAGGACTAACGTGCTTCTGGCCCACCGTCTACAAGTCGGAGCATATTGGATACATATATTTGTAGCTTGAAAAACAAATGCAGATCGGATATATATATATATTTTTTTTTTCTCTTTTCACAAAGCTTACTTGTATCTCTGTGTTTCCTCCAATACGGTGGATTTCAGCTTCGATAAGAGCACCCACACAATGTTGACGAAGAGCACGAAATTTATCTGATGCAAAAATTGCGATTAATTTACGATCAAGTTAATTGCAATACGACAAGTTTTGCTGGCCGTTCTTACCAGAACAGAGAGCATCGTGGGTACACGTATGAAGAGGAACAAGAGAGGCTTCAGATTAGTAGTCCAACAATATGTGTCCTCGAATATGATCCTCGTAACTACCCAGGGTAAAACAAATAGAGCCGGTAGACCTAAGCAGCGTGAAGAAGTAGTAGTAAGGAGTCAATCTGACTCTCTCGAGAAGTTAGCTAAGAAAACTATCTTCACACAAAGTCTCTTAATCTCAATAATTAAACTTCACGGTGATAAAACTTTGCACGAATAAAACACGACTTTGAATTTTTTTAACAAGTTAATTCCGCATATACTTTTTTAAATACATTTCTTACACAAGATTTATGGCTGTTAACTATCGTCAGGATAATTAAGGTGGGTTTCGTTAAAATTAATTCAAGAACCGTATCGAAGATCCCGTAAGAAAATACGTGAAGGTACCCCGTGCTTTTCATTAGTCTTAATGAACTTTCTGTTCCTACCGTAAGCTTCGAGCTAACTTTACTCACCCCATCCGAAGCCGATGTAGGCAGCGATGCTGGAGTTGGCGTCTGTGAAGGGCGCCAGGATGACTAGCTTGTACAAGTATATTCCCTCTATTAAAATCCAAGAATAATTCGCCAGAATAAAATACTGCCACAGGCTAGTGAACATCTTGCAATGCCAGTTGTTCTCCGTCTCGTTGACCAACCAGTAACTGTCGCCGTTCTTCATCACCACGTCGGCCAGTCCGATACCGGACACGAAGAGTATATCCTTCAGCAGCGCCATGAAGGCTCGCATCATGAACGAGGCGAACAGGTGCATATGCAATATGTTCCGCGGGCATCGTAACTTCCTACGTCCGATGGAAGATAAACTTGAAGTGACAACGCGATTCCCGTCGATTAGGAGGTGCGAAATCTTGCGCGGTGGCGCAATCCAACTCTCATTGAAATTAACACGATCGCAGCGAACGACTATGCCGATTATCTCCGGAGAGATTCATTACTCTTTCTACCAGCAATCACGACATTAAAATTGCTATATTTATCGGTATCTTTATATATTCATTGATTGGATTTTTGTATGCGAAATAACGAAATAACGAAATAACGAAAAAGGACATATATAGACGAAGATCTAACGGAGAGATACTTTAAAACATCTCATAAAATATAACGGTCAATCGTTCTTTAACTAACGTTAGAATTACGCCGACGAAGAAATATATATTTAGAGCGAAACGCATCTTTATAAGGGTGCGACTTAAATTACGTTGTTATGCTTACTTGATGGTAGCCAAGATGCAAAACGCAAAGATGAGGGTGAACAGCGAAACCGTGTAGCCGAGTTTCGAGATAGTCTTCACGATCGGGAAGAATTTCTACAACAAATAACTGAATCCTAAGTAACAAGCAATTAATTATCGACTTATAACTCATACATGATTGACTATTATACAAGTAATTCTAATGATTTCCAAGAGACACCAATTATGAGCATTGGTTGTATATTTATTTTTAAGGATTACTTTTGCGAAATATCTCGAGACACGAATAAGTTGTTAAAAGTAATAGATAATGAAGAATTATTTCTTGCAAGAAATCGCAAGTGTCGGTTCTTACAGCTAATCTTATTAGCCAAATAATACTCTGTATAACAATACTGTCACAAACATGATCCTCATGAAAACCACAAAAAAGCTTGAAAAGACTTGAAGTTACGTTTAATTTATGGCCTGTAAGCCCCTCTAACTCCGCTGCTACATAGTCCTTTCCTATTTCCCATCGACGACATTCCATGTCTCATTGTGTATTCCCTTTCATGTCCGCGATACTAGCTTTGCGATCCTTAAGGAGATTTCAATCAAAAAATAGGAAAAAGGGGCAATTCGAGTTCAAGCACAGGACTAATAGTGCTATGTACCATATGGTATATATCTTATGTTGGTCAAACTAGTAGAAGACTCTCTACACATATTGCCGAACATAGGAGAATTCCTAGGAGTTCTACGGTGGAGTTAACGGCCATACAGGAACATTGTTTGAGGAAGAACCATGATTTCGATTGGGATCATCAAAGTTTTACATGAGAAACGCTTTTACTTGAAACACCTGATTTCAGAAATGATTTTCATCAAATTTCAAAAGCATGGTCTTAACTCACAAAAGGATATTGAATATTTGGGCAGCAGCTACTGCGGCTTGTTATGAAAATAAACTTTGTTTTGGTTTCCTTCTCTTCCACAAGTCGTTTCCGCAATGTTAATACTAGGTTATATAAATCTGTAATTATTTGTATTTCGTAGACGTGGCGATGTTATCGTTGAC